GGAGGCAGGAGATAACAGACAAATAGTGGTAAAAGCAGAATTCATTGCTTATAGTCAATTCAATTATTTTCATGTACCACTGCCATAAGGAAAAGCTGGGATAGAATAGATAAACAGGTTACCTTCAGAGTGGAAGAAAACAGTAACAAATAATTTGAGTACCAGGACTTGAATCATAATTTGGGGACAAATATGGTATTTGAATTTTTTTTAAGACTTTCTTACAGAGCATTTCTTCCTGTGAGTTGAAACAATAACAAAGTAATATGTTGTTTCATAAGTATGTATCATGTGAGTCTTGTGTGTCTGCAAGCAGAACATTCTTGGATTTATTTCCTCACTAATGAATATTGGACTAGGCAAGGCATATTTAGCTTTCTAGCTGAAATATGGTGTTTCCTGTTTCCTTTGATTAGAGCAAAAATGTGATCCAGGAGGCAAGCTTCTTGCCTCTGTTTCAGTTTCATACTGACAGACCATTCATGGATGATTTATTGATTCTGTCCTAGTGGGGGTCTTAATTCCTCATGCAGTGAGATGAAGGATAACAAAACAAAATCCTTAAGCAGTTTGAAGGGAAGAGACACTGATGTAACATGTGCTAGCCAAAAAGTACATTGCTTCTGCTTTGGAAATGGAAACCAGAAAAACACTTATATACATACACATATTGCATTGACCAAAAAGTGTGTTACATTTTTTCCATATAAAGCTCTAGTAGTACTTAGTTGTCTTTAACTTCATTTGAAACAATTTTGTTAGATTGCATTTTGATAGATAGCTATCATATCAGGATGCATTTTTTAAAAACTTATCAAAATTGGTGAATTTTTGTGCAGCCATTTTAATGTTGAAGATGGAAAGAAATACACATTTTTGACTTCAGGAAAGGTAAAAATGCAACTGAAACGCAAAAAAGAAAGATTTGTGCAGTGTATGGAGATGGTGCTGTGACTGATCAAACATGTCAAAAGCGGTGTGCAAAGTTTCTTGATACTATGACATTTTGGCCAAATAATTCTTTGTTGTGGGGCTGTCTTATGCATTGGAAGATGTTTAGCAGCACCCCTGGCCTCTACCCAATAGAAGCCAATAGTGGGAGATGGCCGACATACTCAAAATATCCAAATCAATAAAGTTATTGATGAAAATGAAAAATGTGTCCTTTATGTTAGGAAAAAAACTGAATTGGACATTTTGGCCAGCCCAGTACAAGTAGTTTTATATATCTGTTGTAGATTTCTTGCAATGTTCAAATTGAGATGGAGATATAGAGGGGCAGGCATATTCAGCTTCTTATATTGTATACAGAACTGGTTAAATTTTAAATGGCAGCCCTGGCAGTGTGGCTTGGTTGGAGCATCATCCTGTAACCAAAAGTTTGGGGGGTTCAATTCCTAGCCCAGGCATGTATGGGAGGCAACCAATCGATGCTTCTGTCTCACATCAATGTTTCACTCCCTTCCTCTCTCTCCATAAATAAGCAATGGAAAAAAATGTCCTCAGGAGGATAAAAAAAATTTTTTTTAATGGCTATTCAACTGGCTCTCATTCTAGCACATCAGTTACTGTGGCAGTGGTTTCTTTTCCATTGTGTCTTGTTATTTTGGTTGTATGGCACGAGTGTAAACTGGAGTCTGTAGTCACCATAACAACAATTACTGTATCTTCTGTATGTATCTTCTCTGTTCTTCGTTGTAGATTCCGAATTTCAGAATCTAGCCTTTTATGTTGTCCAGTCACATAGGTGCCCTGTGCCATGTGTGGGCCATTAAACCTTCTGAAGAGAGGAGTTTTGCAGATAGTGTTAAGTCTTGTATCAAAGTAAGTCATAAGTGAGATTTGGACCAAAAGTGGTCCTTAGCTCAGAGCCCTGCAGAATTGTCCTTTAGCCAGTGTCATGTACTCCAGCTGGGAGGCTGATGAATGAATGGGTGAGGAAATACACAGGAATTCTTAAGTCAGTTTTTCTCCTTTTCATATTCTTTTACCAAGCATTTAGAGTTCTTAAAACAGTTAAAAATTGCTTTCTAAATGAAGCAGTACTTATCCTTTCTCCTCCCTTGTCACAAGATCATTCTGATCCTTTCTGTAAGGATTAATCTGGTAGGAAACTACTTTGGGGGTGAAACTCCATCTAAAACTTTGGGTATGTGATACATTGGTTTCTGTGGAAATCTACAAAATAAAGTTAGTTTTAAAACTTGCATTCCATTGTTTGAGAATACGTGTTTTAAGTGTGATTCTCACAAGTGACCTAAGGGAACTGAGAAATTGAAAAATTAACCTGACTTTGTTCTGAAGCCTGACCTTCACCACTGATTTAAACAGCCATTCTTGGCATTTTGACATCTATAGCCCAAGTCAGAGACTTGGTGTTGGCCAGCAGTGCTCAGCAGTAGTACTCTGATTGCTTATTTAGGGTAGGGGATAGAAGTGGGTGAATGGGGAAAAGAATATGGAGGGATACAACCCAGTCTTGTACCCTACATCCTGGTGATTTATTTAGCAAGTACTGTGGCGTGAGACTGTGGCGTGTTGGTTTTGTTGACTAAGCTGAAGAAGGATTGCTGAGCATTTAATCACATGATGCTTCCGGAGTAAAAATGCTGTGCTGACTTAAAAGTTTTAATTTAACAACTTTTTACTTCGGTGATATATCTGCTTCATTTTTTGGAGGGTTATGTGCTATATTATAGGTTAAATGTGTTCTCATCAAACTCATAACAAAAAAAATTATAATACCAAAAACAATATTTCTCTGGTGGCGAGAAATATAGTAAATAGTTTAGGCTATTACCTCTATATGATTAGGGGTATGGGAAAGGAGTTGAAATGAGAAGATAATTGTTCAGTGGGACAAAAAGCAGCTGGTAAAGTTTATTGTAGCTATGACTGTGGTGCTTATAAATAAACCTCATTTACTAGATTACATTTCCCTTGGTTCTGAAGCTAGCCTGTGTGGAGCTCAGGCTCATTGAGACAGTTCGGCTTATAATGAGCTAAATGGGATTGTCAGCGTGTTCAGAAATTGAGAGATGGCTAGAAACCAGGATTTGTGGCCTCTTTAGGAAATGAAATCTCACAAAACTTGTCAGTTGTTGCCAAGCTCAGGGAAATGCACCTAAACCAGTCCCATCTTTCTACCAGTGTTTGTCACTCCCTTTACACCTGCCCACTTTGTTCCTGGTCTGACTCTGACAGATACAAACACAAGGTAGGTGGGGTGTTTAGTAGTCTCTGCAGTCAAATTTTAGTGTATATTTTGAGGTCTTTTTGAACTTTGTGTTTGCCCAGTGGTAAGTTATCGGAAGGAAGGAAGCTTTTTTCAGAAGTATGTCAGAGCTAGAGTCACAGTTATGACAAAGTGAAGTATCCTTGACCTTGAGGCTTATATTTGTAGAGAGTTCATAAATGGACATACGAAAATTAAGCCAAATAAGCAAATATTTCATAGGAGTCATCAAGAACTTATTTTGGAGAAGGATTTAGGTTGAGATGTGAGGAACTTAACTATATTGTGATCTTACTAATACCTGGTGTTAAAATCAAACTCTGGTAACAACCTGAAGCTTGTTTCTTAGAAGAAAGCCATTGTTACTGGACTAACTCTGGTTCTTGCAATTTAAATTTTTTCTTAGTGCTAAGGGGAAAGGGGAGGTATTGACAGTTTCTAAGATACAGAGAGAGGAGGGAAGCAATTCATGCATTTTTAGTGGATATATTTACTCTTTTTTTTACCTGATTGAAACAGTTTTTTCTGATTTCAGTTAAGTGTATCGGTCCTTGGTCTTGAAGTTTTTATTTTAAAGAAAAGAATCCAAAATGAAATTTAGGGGGAAATAACCTCGGTATTCTCTGTTTTCATCCTGTTGATTCCAGTCTTGTCTTGGCATTCTCCCTACAATAATCTAGAGTATTAGAACAACTTTAGTGCTAGCTTACAGTTGGGAGTGGGGGGGGCGGGGGGGATATGAGATGCTTAATTCATGCAGTTTCATGCCCTGTTTGTGTCAGGCCTTCATATTAACAATTAGCTTGTCTGCTTTAAGAATTAAAGAATTTATCATACTTGAAATTTGGTGTGAAAATCATTTTAACCACCTTTTCCTAACAACCCAGTTCTTCCCAAAATTCTTTTTAAACTGGCAAATGGGAAGTTGGATATTATTTTTCTCTGAATTTCTAACTTAAAAAATCTGTTTCTTTTGCTACCAGGGCAGTGCTCATACTTGTCCCTTTATATGTAACCACAGCGGGATTCTGCTAATTAGGGCCTTTGTTAGTTTTTTTACAGTTTATCTTTTTCTGTCTAGATTTCTACTCTCAGACAGTCCCTGAATATAAATGGGTCCACTCTTTAGCCTGATTTTTGTTTTTTGACCTAGGATCCCATGCCACATGACTGTTCTATTTTCCTAGTTTCTTCTTTCAGATATATGTAGGGTCTGGTTAATGCCTCTTTTTTTTATTATTATTATTATTATTATTATTATTTTATTTTTTTAAAAGATTTTATTTATTTTTAGAGGGGGGGAAGATTGAAAGAGATACATCAATGTGTGGTTGCCTCTGGAGCATCCCCCTCCAGGGATCTCGCCGGATCCCTTTGCTTCGCAATCCAGTGCTCAATCCACTGAGCTATACCAGCCAGGGCTGGTTAATATCTCTTGAATGTTCTTTGTAGTTGGGGCATTTAGCTAAGAAGTTCAAGATTTCATCCTGTCTAACAGTTCTTCCAAGTATTTGGTTTAATGTACTAATGCACATACTATAAGAATCATAGTTGCTTTCTTTAGATCACAGGAATACCTTGGGCCCATCCATGCATTTAAGAGCAAGTTTCCCCACTTTTTCAAATAAATTTAGATTTATCTCAACTGACTTTGTTCTAAATGATCTTCTGTAGACTGTTTTATAATTACTAGCTCCCATTTTTGGAAAGATACTTTTTAGGACTGAAATGAATTTGAAACTAAGAACCGAAAAATATATTTCAGCTGAGATCTGTATCTGTGGACCTGAATGTTGATCCCTCGCTTCAGATAGACATACCTGATGCACTCAGTGAGAGAGATAAGGTCAAGTTTACAGTACACACCAAGGTAAGTGCGACAGATTGACTTCCAAATGAAAACAAAGCTGGGTTGCATCCTTATTATTTACAGTGACAATAATATGAGATTTCCTGAACTGAAAGAGTTTCCATTTGTTTGTAGTGTAGCACCACTGCTAAATGAGCACCTCCCTCATCTTGTAGTGAGTCTCTAAGTAAGTGCTTATGATGCAACATTTTCCACTATTTTAGAACCTTAGGACATTGCTGATGTTAAATGTGGCTTGTACTGTCCTCTATGAGGAAGCAGATCAGGCAAAGTGATGGGAGGCAGAGCCATCTACCTACAAGGCTAAAATCTTCCACCTTTGTTTTTAATTTGCATGTGTGGGAAGTGCTTGCTTTTCCCACACTTACTAAGTTCTTGGTCTTTGCACAGCATATTTCTTGTGATTCAAAAGACTTTTTCTATTTCCACATTTTTAATTTGACAAAAGCGATATGCCAATCCGGAAAATGTAGAAAAAGTTTAATTTCTCAGAATCAGTCCTTTCAGGAACACATTCAGCCTCCTTTCTCCTTTTATGTTAGTTGAAAATGTATTGAATGCTTGTCTTATTCCAGGCAATGTCTTAAGGGGTTTTATTTAGATTTAGTTATCTTTTTATAATAACCTATGATTTTTTTTTTTTTATTGTCATCCCTGCTTTACAGGTGAGGGAACAGGCACTTATTTAAATAAAGCAAGTATCAGTAGGTTCTCTCCCACGTGATTTTTTTTCCCTCTCTTAATACCTTAGTGGCTTGATTTGCATACACCTCAGTTACTCAAAAAGGCAGTGTGAAGATTACATAATTAAATCTACCTGCGTTGGCCTGAAAAGGGAATTTTGTGAAAGGAAGTCCTTAAAAACCATGTTGAATCTTGGCTTTGACTTCATAGTGGTGGGAGATCTTGTGTTGCTGCTTTTTGTTCTTTACTAGATCTCATTGTGAGGTTTTATTATGCAGAATTTTCCTATAGTGCAGCCTAGGCAACTCAAACCACTTTTATCTAAAAGTGGTAGTTACCAGTAAATTTCTCTTTTCTTTACAGACCACACTGCCCACGTTTCAGAGCCCAGAGTTTTCTGTTACAAGGCAACATGAAGACTTTGTATGGCTACATGACACACTTTCTGAAACTGCAGACTATGCTGGGCTTATTGTAAGTATATTTGGGAAATAGAAATAATTACTGAAGCCAGTTTCTTCAGCCTTGATGTTCATTTGTTTAAAGAGACTTTTACATATATTTCATAATGGATTTTCAAAAGTCTTGTTTTCTTCTGCCAGCTAGAGTATGTGTTAACCATTACTGTTAAAAATATATGAGAATAGTGTTATAGCTATGAATGAATTAAAACATACCATCTTATATTTCTCAAAAGTGTTGTAGTCTGCTCAGGGAGTAAAGGAGGCAGCTCTCTTTGTGTTCAGCTCTTGAGAGTTAATGCATGGCTGCAGGAAGAGACTTAGTGATTTTAAAGCCGAATTAAGTATGGTTTGTCTTGTCAGGCGACTGAAGAATCTGGCCAAATAAACAAAATTAGTACTGAAACTTATGTTTAAGAATGTTATCTTCACTAAATAATAGAATCTTTTAATTATCCTTTGGAATTAAAAATTCCTTTTGAAATCTAGAGACTATAATCTTGATGATTCTTCATTGGCTTTATTTTAGTACTGATTGTAATAAATAAAGTGTAATGAAGTTGAAGCAAGATAAACACTATTATACCCTACCAATTGTCCAAAATAGATAAACTGAATAAGCGAGTGCCAAACTGTCGGGAGGACAGTTTTAAATGGCAAAAAGGAATAAGGTTAAGAGAAAAACAGAGGTTGACCACAGGGCTGGCTGCCATAGGCCCCAACTAGAATATCAGTGCTGGGACAAAAATGCTCACGAGTTACCTGCCTCTGCTGCAGATTCCACCTGCTCCTACAAAGCCTGACTTCGATGGCCCTCGAGAGAAGATGCAGAAACTGGGGGAGGGTGAAGGGTCTATGACCAAAGAAGAATTTGCCAAGATGAAGCAAGAGCTGGAAGCGTAAGTGGATCTTTCAGATGAGACTTTATCATTTGAAAAGAAAAGAGGTAATAATGTACAGAAATAAGAGCCTGACAACTAATTATTATTATTTTTTAAGTATAGTAGTTAGTTACTAGTTCTCTCTTCTGAAAGTACATTTTGCAGAGTGTAGGGCATAGTCTTGAATTTTTGACCTTGACTTCCTGGGGGCCACTAACAGTGATAGACAGGTAGTTTCCCCTATGTAGACCATACTTGTTATGGAACGCTGGTCTGGCATAATGAAGTAAACCTTTGGTATATGTAAATAATTCTTCAAGCTGCCGATAATGTACAATGCTTTCTTTCCTGAAGTTTGATTATTGGAAACTTAGTTGAACTAGATTACAGTGAATTTTGTTACAAAGCAGCATTCTGACTAATAACCATATTGAGGGTTTGGAAGAAGCCCAGGTCTGCAGGAAAGTTTATTTTACTTTGGCTGTAATTTAATTCTCATAAAAATGTTTTTTTTATTCTGTATCATAGTTGGAGGTTTGCATTAAATTTTCTTTTGAAACCATCCTCAAACATCATCTTGGCTTCCTCCCCTCTTCTACCATCAGTTTATTGGAATTCAGGTGCTCATTTCAGCAGTTGTCTTTAATGCTCTGCCCCAAGCCCATATTATTATCTAGGGCCAGGGCTCATATAGCTCCAGGTCCTGAATTAGTCACTTGAATGACTGTCATGACCATCCTTGAGGCTAAAAGCACTGAACACAAGAGTCAAGTATCTATTGGGAAGTTTAGGGTGATCTTTTATGTCTAGATTGAAATAAGCCCACTTTATAATTTTTGTGTGTTTGTGTGTGATTTTGAGAGTACATTTATTGAAACAAGGAAGGGCTTAGGAGAAACTACAGGGGAGAGTCTAGGTGGAGCTGCTTTGGCTCTCTAGAAATGTAGGAAAGAAATGAGCCAAAACTGGCTGCCCTTGGCTCACTGAAAAGTCAGAGAAAGGGGAGCCTTAGAGATAAGCTCAGGGAGTTAGCCTGGGATGGGCTGCTGCCGCCCTTGTTCATTGCTCCCCTGGTTGCAAGTCTGGTGGGAACCCTTTGAATTTAGGAGATGGACTCCTGGAAGAGAGGGTGCTGCTGGGTCCTTGGTCTTGAGGGCTTTTAAAGGATGGGAGTTTAGGGAGTTCTTAGGGGTGGTTCTCAGTAGAGTATTCATCAGCTTTATGCTGAAGCGCCAAAATGAAATTTACTCTCTTTATCTGTCCTTGGATATGTTATAATTTCTGATAATCCTGGGCTTTATTAGACTCAGTGCTGTGTGTATATGGCTGCAGAAATAAAGGATTTTTGTTTTAAAGAAACCATTCTTCTCTTGGCTGCTAAATACCAGCAGTATTTGCATGTAGGTTTCAGGCTTTGCAAACTTGATCCATCATCCCACTTAAAATCCCACTTTCCCCCTTCATTTGCTCATTCCACCGATTCCAAAATAGCAGCTACCTTATTACTTAATTCGATGTAAAGTAACACCAAAATGTTTAGGTCACGTTCAGGTATTTTACTTAGTGGCATGAGGAGAAAACCGTGATAATTGGGGGCAGTAGTGGTTGCTAGTTGAGTGGTGCCAAATAAATGCTTCTCTTTTAGTGAATATCTTGCTGTCTTTAAGAAGACTGTATCCTCCCATGAAGTCTTTCTTCAGCGGCTCTCTTCTCATCCTGTTCTCAAAAAAGATCGCAACTTTCATGTATTCCTGGAATATGATCAGGATGTAAGACATTTTTAAAATTCCATTTTCATGATCTAATAAATGTACAAGATTATACTTAAAAAATATACTTTATGTATTTTCTGCAAAATTAACTTTTAAAGTTCTAACTTTCTTACCAACACAGTGGAAAGAAACTTTTGTAGATGCCGTTTCTTCTTTCCAGTAGATCAGTTATGTAGGACATTTTTTAAAAGGCTGCTTAAAGATTTTGACCTTTTTTTTCCCCTTCTAAAGACTAGTTTTCTCTCTCAATTAAGTTTAGGATTATTAGAAGAAACTTAAATTGATCCACATTTCTCTTCTTGACTACCTTTTTTTTTTTTTTTTGGAGGGAGGAGGGGAAAGAAACGTTGGTTGTTTGCCTCTCACATGCACCAAGCTGGGGACTTGGCCTTGCAGCTTAGGCACGTGCCCCAACTTGGAATAGAACCAGCAACCTTTCAGTCCGTGGGAAGGACCCTCAGCCTACTGAGCCACACCAGTCAGGTCTTGGCTATGTTTCTATTGACAAAAGACTTGTATACTTTTTTTAGTTTTCTGTTAATATGCATGAGACAAGCCCTGACTTAGAAATTTCCTGTCTTCTAACCAGTGAAGTTTAATAAGCAACACAGAACAAAATGATAATTTTACAAGGATTTAAAAGCCATTAAGACTTGGTGCCCAGTTTTCAAAATACCTCTTAAGTCACACTTTGAGAAATCTGGCATGTATGTAGATTTATCTGTTCATTCAATATTTTAGGTCTGGTGGTTAAGATGGAATTTGTCTTCAATCTTTGTATGTGCCTGTACTAGTAAACAGTGTTACTTGGAATGTATTCAGGACTTCTTTAAAAGAATCTAGAAAAATATATGTACTGTAAACTCTTCTTTTGGAATTCTCTTTCTTCAGCTTAGTGTTAGGCGGAAAAATACCAAAGAGATGTTTGGTGGTTTTTTCAAAAGTGTGGTGAAAAGTGCTGATGAAGTCCTTTTTTCTGGAGTGAAGGTAAGTGGCTTTTAGCTGTTGAAGAAAATTCCTGACTTCCTGTGGATAGGTGACCTTTTATTTCTTCGAAAAAGATTTGGGAAACAAATTAACTTCTCAGAAATGTATTTTTTTCCAAATTCTGGCTATTTTCATCTACTTGTTAAATTGTCACTTACCTTCCCAAAATACCCCATTGTCTCCCTGGAGAGGGGATAAGAACCTTTCCACACTTAAGTCTTTATCTTCCTTTCTGTAGAGAAGTTAAATTACTATTTTTTCAATTAGCTACAAAAATAGTATTCCATGCCATTCTCCAGAACTATACTGTTGATTTTGGTAGCCCCAGGCATACGACAATGGAGCACTTGACATGTAATTATCTGGTGCAGTTAGGCAGCAAATTTTTATTTTATTTGCATGTTTGAGTTTAGGATCTCACTGATACTTTTGTTTCATATAAACATTTATTTTTAAAGTAATTTTGCCTGCTTTTAAAATGAGGCTCCTAGAAAAAATTAATGGCACAGGAGGCTTACATATTTCTACTGGACAATGCTGTTATAGAAAATCAAATTAATATGCAAGTCTCTTAGTAACTACATAGGTGTGATTTATTTCTTCATTCCTCAGTCCCCTCACCTTCTTTTTAACTGTGTTACTGTAATAGCTACTATTTGGTGTCTAACTTTGTCACTTGGGCTTTGAATAAGGATCCCAGAGTATAGGTGCTGAATACAGGGATCATTGTCAGAAATTTGGGAGCTCTTTGATGATCTCATGGCACAGTTTGAGATGTGTGGCACTGTCCTGTACCCACACATTGTAGGGTGTTGGAATCCCAGGCTAGTGCCCACCAGAGTCCAGTATTGCCTGTCAGTCTAGAAGCCTCTGAATTCATTACTTTTCTACATACACACCAGATGTTAGGTAGCAAGCAGTACGCTAGGCAATACTATTGCTCTAGCAGAAATGCTGGATATTAGGATACTAGAGTATTACAGGGCATTGCTAACTGGCTCTTTAGAATGGTTGTTGACATTTCCTGCCAACACTTGACTTTTGCTAGTCTTGTGTATGAATGAAGTGGTATCTTATCAATTCGTAGTTCTCTAGTTTGCAGAGATTAAACTTATACTTGAGCTTATTTTTTTTAATGTTTCTTCCGATATAAAATAAATATATTCTTAAAAGTTTTGCTTCTTAAGTTTTATTTTTCCTTTCCTTTTAGGAGGTAGATGACTTCTTTGAGCAAGAGAAGAATTTCCTCATTAACTATTATAATAGGATCAAGGATTCATGTGCAAAAGCTGACAAAATGACCAGATCTCATAAAAGTAAATGCTGTTCACCTACTAGCCATGTATTTTGCTAATGTGCCATGTCTGTTCATATAAAAAGAACTGTTCTTGTTTCTGCAGATGTTGCAGATGACTATATCCACACTGCAGCCTGCCTGCATAGCCTGGCTTTAGAAGAGCCCACAGTCATCAAAAAGTAAGTTTCTGTTGGAAAAGCTTTCCCCTTAATTCTCTAGTAGAAAGCTGCCAGGCTGTATGATTGAAAGTATAAAGAGTGACGACTACATAGTTTCAGTTCTGTTCTTGAGCACAAGCTTATCAAAGATAGATAGTCTCTAGCAAATCAAATCCCTCTCTCTGAACACAGAGACTCTTTGTATAGGACTGAAAGGGCATTTCCTTACCAAACATCGATATTTTGTTAAAGCCTTTATTTCTGTCAAGATTTTATTACATGTCTCCATTTCTTTTTGATTATTTAAATTTTAGAGTTTTCTTTGAAATTTGCCGTGTGTGTCCCCTGGCATCATGGTGCTTGCCATTTTAACCTGACAGTAGCCTGGATTGACTTGAAGAGATTTGATTAAAGTGGTCATAAGGATAATAATGTAATGACCCCAATCTGATCTTGAGCTTCTTTTTAATTTGGATTTTTCAGTTTCTTTATCTTGGCCATTTTTGTTGTGAGACAGTATCCTATGTAACACCTAGGCTTGGGATAATAGAAGGCAGTATTTCTGATTTGAAGGTGGAAGTCAGGTAATGACAGAACCAAGATGAAGTAGTATATACTTATGGCTTTGGGACACACATGGTAGTGGTTCACTAAAACCTGATCTTGGTTAACGTAGCTTTGGCACTGGATAAGAACTGGGGACACAAGTTCTGCATGGCCGAATGGCTGAAGGGCCACCAGGAGAGGCTGATACCAATGGCTGTGGCATTATAAATGTGCCCAATTTTATAATCACTAGATTGGGTCAACTATGATAAAAGTGCTACTTTGATAAACTAATTCTAAAGCACCATTGGCTAGGGCTCCTCAATTTATCCATTCATGTCTTGGAGTATTGATAAGATCACATGTCATACATGACTCGAGACCTTGGACTAAAATCATGTATATATTTCAGGTACCTATTAAAGGTTGCTGAACTATTTGAAAAACTTAGGGTAAGAATTTTTGTGTTGGTCTTCATTATGTATTTTATAATCTGGAGATTTCTGCCTAGGTGATAGTGACCTTTATTTATTTTATTTTAATAGAAAATAGAGAGTCGAGTCTCCTCAGATGAAGATTTAAAGGTGACAGAGCTCCTTCGATATTACATGCTCAACATAGAGGCTGCTAAGGTAAGTTCTTTAAGTCTGCCCTGCCATGATCCTGTAAGAGGTCTGATGTTAGAGATGTATTCTTTCTGATAAAAATGAAGGAAGGTAGGAATTTTTCAGGGTTTGTGTAAGTGATGTAGACTTAAATAGAGATGTAAACTGAGCAAGCTTGAGTTTCTAGAAACTCAGTTTATTGAGGGATAGCAAAGGAATTGCAGTTTGGAAAACACATCCTGTAGCAAATACTACGCTTGAGTCCGGTGAGGGCATGGGGCTGGTTGTATTTATGGGCAAGGAAGGTACAAAGAGTGGGAAGTCCAGCTGGAGGTCAAGCAGTAAGTTTATTGCTCTGAGGGTGCTTGTCCCAAGCAGTAAGTTCATGGATGGATTATTCATTGGTCAGGAAATTCTTCTGCGTCTTCTATAAATCGGCGTTTACAGGAAATTAGCCTTTTAGCTCTTAAATTCTGTTCTGTGGGCACATGCACATGATTCTTTGTATCATGTCTTTCAGTTCCATTTTGTATTGAAATCTTTCCCCATTCATATGCCCCTTTTTTTGGCATTGTATCCTTAGTTTTATTGCTTGGGAGCAATTGGGGTGGTGCTGAATAGACAGATAATAGTTTTGGGGGTTATGAGTTACTGGATGCGGGACATAAGTGAAGACTTGCCAAAAGGGCTATTTCTGTGGCAGAAAAGATTTTGAGACTTGTGAATTTTTATTGAGTTGCAGTTGTCACTGCAGCCGTTGAGTCATAAAGTGTTGCTTATCAAACACAAGACTAAGTGGCCAGCAGAACAACCTTTTGGAATGAAACATGCATTGTTCACTATCTACACAGTCCTGACAAACGTTTAAGTTATTTTTATGTGAAATATGCTGAATCAGGCAACATAAAATTAGGGAAAATATGTAACAGGAAGGTGCCATCAGGATGTAGAAATTCATTATTTTTTCTATATTTTGGTTTTACTTTAGTTAATTTGTCTTTTGGTATGTTTCCTTCATCTTTGGATTTTTTCTTAACACTTTTGTTGACTATCTTTATAATGGATTTAAGTGCTGATAAATTTTTTTGTCTATACACAAAAGTGGGCATACTCGAACCTTATGTATCTATCTGTCATACATGCATTCTCACTTTTGATTTTAGATACTAAGGTAACGTCTACTTTGCTGTAAGATCCTCAGGGTAGACCCTACCCCCAGAGGCAGGGTTTTCTGGGTAGGGTTATAAAGAGGTTCTTACTACCTCATTGCCCACTTGCATTCTATTCCCATCATTTGACTCTCCCTGCAGTAACTGCACATGTTGTAATACACAGTGGTTAATTTTCTGAAAATTACTTTCCTAGAAAAAGAAATCTTTTAAGTTTTCATTGTTGGCTTTTTATTTTTTCATGTGAAAAAAAAGTGCTCGGTAATGCACTTTTTGGGGGGGGGCGAATAATAGTTGTTCCCAGCCTAATGTTGAGATTTAAAAACCTAATAACGGAGTGGGGATCATAGAAGTAGATTAGATTCTTGCTGTCTAACATTTCAGTTAGTGCACTGGCACCATAGTACTTAGGATATTTTAACTACCAAGTTGTATCTGTTATTTTTCTTCTCAGGATCTCTTATACAGACGTACCAAAGCCCTCATTGACTATGAGAACTCAAACAAAGCATTGGATAAGGCCCGGTTAAAAAGCAAAGATGTCAAGTTGGCTGAGGCACACCAGCAGGAATGCTGCCAGAAATTTGAACAACTTTCTGAATCTGCAAAAGAAGGTTGATCAGGGCCACTCTTTACTTTTTGCTTTTTATTTGTAAAGTATTTCAACCTTATAGAGAGAAGTTTCACAAATAGTGCAAAGAACACCATACTTCTTTTCTTGGGGTCTATATCTGTCCACAGCAAAAAAAATTCTTTTTGCTTTGTCACTTGCGACATGTGCGCCCCTGTGTATGTTTTTATAAAAATGTTGGTTTTTATTATAACCATTTGAGGTTAAGATTAAGTTTTATATATTATGGCTTTTCCCCCCCAAAAAACTACATTTCTATAGTACTATTACTGACTTCAGTAAACTTTGATACTCTATAACACTATCTATATTCTTACTTTGTTTTAGTAATGCCCTCTAGCCTAGGATTTCATTTAGTTATCATAGCTCTTAAGTCTCTTTTAATTTGGGAAGAACCCTTCTCAGCCTCTTTTTTTTTTTTAATGACATTTTGCCCTCTTGAAGACTAATCTTTATTTACAAATAGAATGTTCCTCAAAGTTTGTGGCGTTAACTTTGATTACCTGGTTAAGTATTGTTGGATTTCTCCACTATGTAGTTAATTTTTTTTTTCCTGTGCCATTAATTAGCACTTCATGGGAAGACTGTTTAAGACCATGCATATATCCTGTTCATCAGACTTTTCCCCAAAATGTAGCCTATGTTGATGGTTCTTGCCTGAGCCAACCTTTACTCTGGTGGTTGTAGGAAGGCGATTTTCCCCTTCCCCCAGTTCTAGCATTCCCTTTCCAGATTAGCACTTGACATCCTTTAAACACAAGCCTTCCCTTTTTCTTTACTTTACTTTACTTTACTTTATTAGAGTCATGGGTTCCCATTTTTGAAAATAGTTTTAAAATTTATTGTACTAACTTATTTTGGTGCTCAAATTGTTCAGATTGTTCAGTGAGGAGTACCTTTAAGCTGACATGTCCTTGTGACGTACCCTCCCATTCTTTTGAGCAGTTTCATGTTCTAGGCTAATCTTACAGCTTTTCTCTTCTGGCCCTAGAAACTGCCATTTTTTGTAGGAGCCCAGGTTCTTTTCAGTTAAGGAATAGTAACAAGATGGAGTGCTAAATATGCTCATTGCCCCTGGCGAGTCTGCTTCTGGACCCTTCTGCTGACAGCAAGGAAATATAGGGGTGTGTGTACATAAACTATGCTTCTCTCTTCCCTCTCAGGAATCATGAATCTGCGATGATGACTGAATTCCAGCACATATCCACAGAGTTTTTTATTTCTCCCATTCCTTTTTAGTATAGCTTAGCTTTGGGAGGTGACGGTGCACCATTTCCATTGAACATGAGTGTAATATGTAGTCATTTCCTTAAGGGATCTCTTTGCCCTGTAGTTCTTAGAGACTATAGACCATGCCAGAGCAAAAAGTAAAGAATTTGTTTTTCAGGACAAACATAATTATAGTGAGTCTTTACTCAATTCACTCTCAAAACATTTCCCCATTCCCTCAGAGCTCAGGTTCCCATGAGGAATCCCGATCTTACATTAACACTTTCCAAAACGTTTTCCCCCTATAGTTGCAAAATCGAGGCGTATCTAGAAATGTCCTGATAATATCTGTGAACAGTAGAATTTTACTCCTTCATGTTGGCTCTTACCTATTCAGGATTACAGTGCCTTAACTGTAAGGATCAGAGCTCTCTGTACCAAAGCTTTGTAGGTGGCATGCAGACATGCTCACATGGCTATGTTTTGGATCTTTTTCAAAGGAACCTTCTTGCTGTCCTAGTCTTAAATAAATTCTTGCCTGCCCCCCCTTAAGCAGCTAATTTAAATTTATAAGGAAAAGACCTGCTTCAAAACTGAGGTTAGCCCTGGCTGGCTGAGTAGATCAGTTGGTGAGAGCATCATCTCGATATACCAAGATTGTGGGTTCAGTCCTCAATCGGCACGTACAGTAATCAAACAGTGAATGCATAAACAAGTGGAACAACAGATCAATGTTTCTTTTTCCCCCTCCCTCCCTTTCTTTAAAATCAGTAATAAAAATTTCAAGAACTGCTGAGCTGAAGTTACAGATTATTGTATGGGCCAGAGTTTAGAGGCTCTGAGAGTTTTAGAGAGGATTAAAGAAAAACAAATGTTTTAAAATAATGCCACTTTAGGCCTGTCCTCATTGCCTGAGGTTTGTCCCTGTGTTAGATTTTTATCCTCTTTATTCAAATTGTAAGTCTGGTTGTACAATATTTCAAAGTACAATATTCCAGACAATTCAGAGAATAATGGGTCTTAACCAGTTTGTCTTGTCTTTGGTCCCAGTTCTTTGTAAAATTTGTGGCTGAATTGATTAAAGTCAGTTGAATGAGCATAGTAAAACAATGATGTGGGGAGACGTTTTGGTTAGTGTAGAGTCCTGATCCTGTGTGCAGACCTTAGAGGACGGAGTAGAACTTATCTTGACATGTGGGTAGACCCATTCAACCTAGTATGTCCAAGGTATGGCCATTAACACATCACTAAAGATTTTTGTGTGAGTTTTCACTTTTAATGTGGCTGCTTGCATTATTATTTCTGTTGGACAATGCTGTATAGACATGATAGAGAAGGATAAGTTTGCTCCTAAGTAGCCTGGAGGACCAGCTTGAGCTAGGGAGGGCTTTCAAAGTTAAAAAAAAAAAATCTGAAAAATCCATTGGTTGAAGTATGTTGGCTTACCACCTCCCCATTATCTGTTATTGGGTTAGCCAAAATATCCATTACATTTTTTCCATAACTTAAAAGACACAGCGAGTGTGTTGGCTATCTCCCACTATTGGCTTCTAGTGGGTAGAGGCCAGAACTGCTCCTAAACATCTTCCAATGCATAAGACAGCCCCACAGCAAAGAATTATTTGGCCAAAATGTCAGTAGTACCAAGAAACTTCACAAACCTCTTTTGACACATTCAATTAGTCATGGCACCTTCTGTATACACTGCACAAATTTGTGTGTGTGTTTACCTTTCTTGAAATAAAGCATAATACACCAAAAGTGTTGGGTATAAAAATATGGTGATGCTTCAAAGCTTTGGAAATCATTTATTTGTAACTGATATTTGGAAGTTAAAGACAAAAATTGTTCATCTCTTTTTGGTAAACTTTCTCTTTTCTAGAACTCAACAATTTCAAACGAAAGAGAGTGGCAGCATTTAGAAAGAATCTAATTGAAATGTCTGAACTGGAAATAAAGCATGCTAGGGTAAGTATTCAAATTAAGCCAACAACTTTTTTGGCTTTTCTTAAAAAGTTTTTTCCCATTTCGTTATCTCAATGTCCATTAGGCAGGTGGGGGTTGCTGTGTGGTTTTAATCCCTTGTAGTGTAGATGGGAGCCACTAGTTAAGAGAGTATTCAGCAGAACAAAAACTCATAAGGTCTTAGTGAAGTACTGCTTTTGAGAAGGCATTCTTGATGGCAGCTACCCTACCTCCTCAAAGTCCTGTGGAGCACACTTTGAAGAACCTGTTCTAATTTGTGAACACATCTATCATACCCTTACAGCCCTTACCTGGAGTTTTCATGGAAAACATTTTTAAAAATAAATTGTCCTCTAGTTTTGCTAAATGTCCTCTGATACTCTTTTTGGTTTAGAAAGGAAGAACACTTCCTTTTATGTATTTGATGCCTAGCTTAATTATGCCCAGAAAAGTTGGAGAACATTGGTTCTCAATACTGGGTGCACATTAGAATCTACTAGGGAGTTTTTAAGACTTCCTGATGACCAGACTAATTCATTTAGAACTTTTGGGGATGGCTTTTTCGGTGGTTCCTGGGCGCAGGCGAGATTGGGCTGCTCTGAGAGTACTGTCTGGTCCAAGGCAACTGGGTCAGCCCTTGGATCAGCAGGGAGCCCTTGGAGGAGGGAACTGTCACTGGCTGTCAGTATTGGTTCAAGCAAGAAGACTTAGAACATTAGTGTGTTTTGAATTCCTTTACCATAACTACAACATAGATGTGTTTATTCACTTGTCTCTTAGGTCCAAGTTCTTTTAAATTGGACTTTTAAAAGTAGTATTTATACATAAATAATTTTGTTTGTATTCTAAGTTTCCTGAATTCCTTTAAAGTGAGAACTTCATAAGGCAGTTTGTGCAAAGGTCCTACCATTTATCTCATTTTAAGTCTCACCCATAACTAATTCTAGTAACTTTTTATAGTCCTCCCAAGGCCTTCATCTTCCAAAAACAACTTTTTAATGTAGTAGTTAGGTTAATTCACAGTAAGGAGAGTTGACATGACGGCATTAGGAGCAAACTTGGGGCTGGGGAGAGTGGAGATGCTGAAGCAGCAACCAGTAGCTCTTGAGCTGTGATCAGCCCCAGATTTTCTGAGGGAGACAAACTCGTCAACAAAATTGGGGTGAGAAGGAGTGTAGGTTGTGATTCAGTTGTGATTTAATGAAGAAAAGCACCAACCTAGTTTGGCTGACTTCGTGTATCATGAAAAGCCAGGTTGGTGGGTTTGAGTTTAGTTTTTACAGATATATAGGAAGTCATGGGCTCTTAAGGAGAGATTCATTGGTCTACTTTGACTTGTTTTTCTTCCAGAATAATGTCACCCTCTTGCAGAGCTGCATTGACTTGTTCAAGAACAACTGATCTGCTTTTTCTCTGAATGAAGGATATGAATGTGAAAGCCAGCATCTCACTTGCACTTAAAATCATCACCACAGAAGATTACCTTTGACTTTAGTTTAAAATTATGTTAATAAACATTTTGATTTCTAAAAATCTTAACACTTAACCATGTTGGTTTAAAAATATTTCTATTAATATGCTACTTGGACATAACTAATCTTTTCCTTATGTATTTAATAGCTCAAAGTGGGCAGAATCTAAAACTGGCTTCTCCTGTAATTGGTTTTAATTATTAAGAAAGGGTGCAGGAAATATGTGCCTTCTGCAAACAAGTATAAGGAATTGCCTGGTGCATGTAGTCTCACAGTTTCATGTCCCCATATCCCTGCAAACCAGTTGTTTTACAGTAGGTGTCAATTACAACGAATAATTCAGCTACTTGTTACAGGTAACAGACATTCCATTCCTTAATTAGGTAACTTCCCTGCCTTCTTATCCTCACAGTTCTTTAGTCATCTTAAGTGTCTGTATTATAACAAGAGTAAGAACATCTCATTTATCTTTCTATACCCTTTGCAGCACCATTTTTGTAGTTTGGATATACATATTTGAGGAGAGAGAACTATCTTAAGGGTATAAAAACCAATTTGGCTTAATGCAGAAAATGGCCAGATCTACCTTAAGAAAGATGTGAATACCCTTATTGTTGGGGGGAGGGGGGTTGTGTTTGGACTTTTTATAAAGTGTATAATAAAATAATAAAACTGATAGCATATGGAGTGTTTTTGTATAAAACAAGCCCAAGATAACAGTTGCAGCTAAGCCTTGGCTATGGTGAGGGGATTCATTGTCTGCCCAGTGCTCCTGGCTTCTGTTCTGGTGTTCAGGTTTTTGAAGACTTACAGGCCAGATTTTTAGAAGGTCCCCAGATCAGGGTTTATCTGTTTGTTTTTGATTTGATTCAGGTTTACTTTTTTGATAGGCTTTAATGCATGATGCTGTGTCCTCACAAAGGATATATCTGTCTCACTGGCTTCTAGGTTTTCTCCTGGAAGTTTTATATCTTACCTTTGTAATTATTGGAAAGAGACTTAGAAACAGTGTAAAAAATATGTTTACCCACCACTTTTTTTAGCCTCTGTTGTGGTTTTTTTTCCCCCAGTTTTATTTTATTGATTATACTATTATGGTTGTCCTGATTTTCCCCCCCTTTGGCCCCTTCCACCCAGTGCCCCCCATTCAGGCATTGCCCACCCCATTGTTCATGCCCATGGGTCATGCATATAAGTTCTTGGACTACTACATTTCCTATTCTGTACTGTACATCCCCATGGCTATTCTATACCTATTTGTACTTCTTAACACCCTCACCTCTTCACCCATTCTCCCCCTCTCCCCTCCAATCTGGCAACCATCTGGTAACTTCTCTTTTAAGAGTCTCTCTTTCCCTTTAACCTTTGGCTTTTTAATAATGATGAGTCTTGGAGTGGGCCTCTGCATCCATCATAGTTGGAACTCTGTGCTTCCTGGACTTGAATGTCTCTTTCCTTCGCCAAATCAGGGAAGTTTTCTTTCATTTTTTTCAGCTGGATTTCCAGTTTCTTGCCCTTGCTCTTCTGCCACTGCTATGAGGCAAATGTTGAACCTCTTAGTTGTCCCAGAGGCTGTTGCTATCATTGTTTTGGGTTCTTTTTTCTTGTTCTGAATGGCTGTTTTTTCCTTCCTTATGTTCTAAATCATTGATATGTATCTCAGTTTCATCTATTCTACTGTTGTGTTTCCCTGTAAATTGTTCTTTATTTCAATTAATGTTTCCTTTATTTCTGACTGGATCTTTTTTATGCTGTTGAGGTACTCACTAATTTCCTCTTTTTTTTTTTTTTTTCCCTAAATGTTCAAGTACAGATATCTACATTTTCCAGCCCCCATTTTCCCCGCCCCACCCACCCCCACCTTCCACCGTCAATCCTGCCCCCTTTTTGGCTTTCCCAATGGGTCCTTTATACATGTTCCCTGGTGACCCTTCCTCTTTCCCCTGCTGTTCCCCTCCCTTCTGGTTACTGTCAGTTCTTTATTCCTCTGGTTATATTTTGCACGTTTTGTTGATTAGGTTCCACTTACAGGTGAAATCATAATGCTATTTGTCTTTCATCACCTGGCTTATTTTGCTTAGCATAATGCTCCAGTTTCATCCATGCTGTTGTGAGGGGTAGGAGTTCCTTATTTCTTTCTGCTGCGTAGTATTCCATTATGTAAATATTACTGTAGTTTCCTGATCCACTCATTTACTGTTAGGCACTTAGGTTGCTTCCAGTACTTGGCTATTGTAAATTATGTTGCTATGAACATTATATGGTGTTTCAGGATTCTTAGGGTATAATGCCAGCAGTGGAATTGCTGGGTCAAAAGGCAGTTCCGTTTTCAGCTTTTTAGGGGATTCCATATTGTTTCCCACAGTGGCTGCACCAGTCTGCATTCCCACTAACAGTGTGGTAGGGTCCCCTTTTCTCCACAGCCTCGCCAGCACTTGTTTGTTCATTTGTTTATGATAGCTATGCTGACCGGTGTGAAGTGATACCTCATTGTGGTTTTAATTTGCACCTCTCTGATGGCTAGTGATGCTGAGCATTCTTTCATATGTCTCTGGGCCCTTTATATGTCCTTCTTGGAGAAGTATCTGTTAGGTCCTTTCCCCATTTTTTAATTGGATTGTTTGTCTTCCTGGGGTGGAGTTGTGTGAGTTCTTTATATATTTTGGAGCTCAAACCCTTGTTCGAGGTGTCATTGGCAAATATATTTTCCCCTATGGTTGGTTCCCTTTTCATTTTGCTGATGTTTCCTTTAGCCATGCAGAAGCTTCTGATTTTCATGAAGTCCCATTTGTTCTTTCCTTTATGCCCTTTCCTCTAGGGGACATATTAGTTAAAATATTAAGTCTTTTATCTATCTTGAGTTTATTTTTGTGTATGGTATAAGTCGGTGGTCAAATTTCTTTTTCTTTTTCTTTTTTTTTTGCATGTATGTGTCCAGATCTCCCAACACCACTTGTTGAAGAGGCTATTTTTACTCCATTTTATGCTACTGCCCTCTTTGTCAAATACTAATTGATCATAGAGGCATGAGTTTATTTTTGGGCTCTCTGTTGTGTTCCATTGATCTATGCATCTGTTCTTATGCCAGTACCAGACTGTTTTGTGAACAGTAGCCTTGTAAAATAGTTTGATGTCATGTATTGTGGTCCCTCCCACTTTTTTCTTCTTTCTTAAAATTGCTGCAGCTATTTGGGGTCGTTTATGGTTCCATATAAATTTTTGAAATGTTTGTTCTATGTCTGTGAAATACATCATTGGTATTTTATTAGGGATTCTGTTGAATCTATAAATTGCTTTGGGTAGTATGGACATTTTGATGATGTTAATTCTAATCCATGAACACGATGTATGCTTCCATTTATTTGTGTCTTCCTTAATTTCTTCAGTGTTGTGTAGTTTTCTGAGTACTGGCCTTTTACCATTTGGTTTGTTTTTTCCCTAGGTACTTTATTTTTCTTGTTGCTATAGCAAATGGGATATTTTTCCTGATTTCTGTTTCTGATATTTTGTTGGTGTACAAAAATGCCTTCAATTTCTGAATATTGACTTTGTATCCCACCGCTTTGCCACAGTCACTAGATCGAGTAGTTTTTTGGTGGAGTCTGTAGGGTTTTCTCTGTACACTATCATGTCATTTGCATACAAAGACAGTTTTGCTTCCTCCGGTTTGGGTGCCTCATTTCTTTTTCTTGTCTGATTGTTGTGGCTAGGACTTAAAATACTACGTTGAATACAAGTGGTAAAAGCAGTCTTATTCCTGATCTTAGTGGGAAAGCTTTCAGTTTTTATCCTTTGGGTATGATTTTTGCTGTACGTTTTTCATTTATGGCTTTTATTATGTTGAGGTATGAACCCTCTACTCCCACTTTCCTGAGTTTTTATAATAAATGGGTACTACACCTTCTCAAATGCTTTTTTTCCCATCTATTGATAAGATCATGTGGTTTTTGTCTTTCTTTATGTGATGTATTACGTTTATTGATTTGCCAATATTGAGCCATCCTTGCATCCCTGGGATGAATCCCAATTGATCATGGTGGATGATTTTTTCAATGTATTGCTGAATGTGATTTGCCAATATTTTGTTGAGGATTTTAGCGTCTATGTTCATCAGCGATATTGGCCTGTAGTTTTCTTTCTTTGTTGTGTCTTAATCTGGTTTTGGGATTAGGGTGATGCTGGCCTAATAAAAAGAGTTTGGGAGTCTTCCCTCATCTTGGATTTTTTGGAATAGTCTGAGAAGGACAGGGGTTAGCTCTTCCTTAAATGTTTTGTAAAATTCTGTGAAACTGTCCAGTCCAGGGCTTTTGTGTGCTAGGAGTTTTTGATTACTGCTTCAGTTTCCCCAGCTGCTAGCGGTCTGTTCAGGCTTTTTGCTGCTGCTTAATTCAGTATTGGATGGTTATATTTTTCTAGAAACTTGTCCATTTCATCAAGGTTTTCAAATTTCTTGGCATATTGTTTATAGTAATTTCTTAAAATCCTTTGTATTTCTGTGGTATCAGTTGTAATTTCTCCTCTTTTCATTTCTGATACTATTTATTTGGGTCCTCTCCCTTTTTTTCTTGATGAGTCTGATTAAGGGTTTGTCAATTTTGTTTATCTTTTGAAAGAACCACCTCCTGGATTGGTTGATCCTTTGAATTGTTCTTTTTGTCTCTATGTCATTCAGTTCTGCTCTGATCTTGATTGTTTACTTTCTTCTATTCGCTCCGGGCTTTGTTTGTTGTTTCTCCAGTTCTTGAAGCTGGAAGGTTAGGTCATTTGAAATGTTTCTATCTTTTTTAGATAGGCGTGTATTTCTATGAACTTAACTCTCAGGGACCGCCTCCGCTGTGTCCCATAGGTTTTGGACAGTTGTGTGTTCGATTTCATTTGTTTACAGAAACTTCTTGATTGCTTCTTAGATCTCATTATTGACCCATTCATTGTTTAATAGCATGCTATTCAGTCTCCATAAGTTTGAATGTTTTTGAGTTTTTCCCTTGAGGTTGGTTTCTACTTGTAAGCCCCTGTGGTCCGAGAAAATGCTTCTTATGATTTCGATTTTCCTGAATTTGTTGAGGC